AAAAAATGCAGCAATTAGACCTCGCATAAAAATGGTAAATTTGGCTGCACCTTCTGCTCGCAAGGGGATCGATCCCGGAGACGGAGACGATCCCGGAGACGATCCCATAAAAGTCGATCCCAGGGAGACGATCCCGGGATCGTTCTTCCGGGATCGCAGCTGGGGTCCCGGGACTCGGCCTCAACTCCTGGGATCGTCTCCCTGGGATCGTCTCCGTGGGATCGACTCCGTGGGATCGTCTCCGTGGGATCGTCCCTGTGGGATCGTCTCTGTGGGATCGTGTCTGTGGGATCGGATCCCCAGGGCCTTTCTTGGCTCACGGCGCTGCTGCAGGCGCACTGGCAGCAGCAGCAGCACCAGCAGCTTCTGCTGCAGCAGCAGCAGCAGCTTTTGCTGCTGCAGCAGCAGGAGCTGCTGCCACCTCTTCGGGGGCCTCGAAGTCCCGGGGGGCCCCCCCGTGGGGGCCCCCACTAGTACCCTTTTGGGGCCTCCTGGAATGTGGGGCCCGCTGCCGGGGGGCCCCCTGGGGGCCCCTGGGGGCCCCCCCGACTGCGCGTTTTGCGCGCAGCAGCAGCAGCATCAGCAGCGCGCCTGCTACCAGCAGCAGCAGGGACTCGGGATGGACTTTGAGGCTTTTTAAAGCAGCAGCAGCAGCAGCATGGAAACCTTCTGCTGCTGCTGCTGCTGCTGGGGCCCTGGGGGTTTGTCGGGGCAACAGGGCCTGCAGCGCGACGGCGTGCCGCTGCTGCTGCTGCTGCAGCTGCTGCTGCTGCGCTGCGCGCAGCGCCTCCCCTTCTGCTGCTTCGACCTTTGCTGCTGCTGCTGCTTGCTTCAAGTTGGCTAGCTGCACTCGTGCTGCAGCTAGCTGCTGCAGCACGAGCTGCAGCTCCTCCCGGGCAACTTCAATTTGCTGCTGCTGCCGCTGCATTTGCTGCTCCGTTCTGGCCTGCAGCTCGATCTCCCGCTGCAGCGTGAGCTGCCGCACTTGCTGCTGCACCTCCTTCACCGTTTCTGCTGCTGCCTCTGCTGCTGCTGCGTCTGCTGCTGCTGCTGCTGCTGCTGCGTCTGGCAGCGCAGCTGCCGCAGCAGCCTTGTCGCCGGCGTCCTGGGGCCCCTCCCGGGGGCCCCCCTCGGGGGCCCCCT